CCCTGATGTCAGGTCACGCGACATCAATCTTCCCTCCACATGTAGCAGGGGAATTGAATTGGAGCTTAGATCACGTAACGCCAGGTTTATGCTAAATTTAGCCAGGAAACTAAACTGGTGCGTAGGTCACGTGACGTCACTTTTTTCGCCAAATTTAGCGCGCAAACTTGAATTTTCCTGTAGGTCCCGCGACGTCACGTCACGTGACATACAATTTTTTGTCAAATTTAGCGGGGAAACTTATGGCGTTAATGCTCACGCCGTCACAGAAATGGAGAACGGGCCACTAAGAGCTGTCGCTGTAAAATAAAACGCGCACACACAGAACGTTTCACTTGTCGAAGATGCTGTGTGAATGAAACAGAATATCGCCAAAATGGACGGATTCAAACTAGTTCGCCGCTCTTAAATTCATACCCGCCGATTAGAACTCTCTCTACGTTGGTGCGCTTGATTCTGGGGTGGCTTGCACGAACTGCGCTACAACAATGAGTTGCGGAAACTTGCGCTGGCGCAGCCCCCCCCCCCCCCCTCTTCCAGGGCCCGTTTTCTCGAAGCGTGTTAGCTTTAACCACGTTAAAACGTTGACCGCCCTTCCCTACTAGTTACATACATGATGTACCTAACCAAGTTTGCCGATGGCTGGAGGACCGATTGAGGGGAGAAAATGTTTTATCTGTGAAACTGGGGGTGGCGAACGCCCGTCGGCCCTGAAACTAGACATTGGTGACAGGAGGAAGGGAAGAAAACTTCTTGTTTTATTATGGGGTTGCAGCAGTTGTCACCTACAGGTAGTAGCGAATATAAGTGGCCTTCGTGGAAAAGTCCCCGAAAAGGGGGAACCCAGGAACGCGCGTTACCGGGTTTTCCCGACGCAGCGCGGCACACATTTAAGCTTAAGAAAAAACTTTTTGTTGTTCGTAGACCAGATACTCGGCAAGGTAAAACTAAATGTATCCTTATTTAAAAATATTTTAAACGTTTGGCTGTCTGAAGTGAAGACAAGGCTTGTTGAAATTTCCGTCCAAGTTCAAAAGAGGAGGACAAATTTCAGTCCGAGAAACAATGAGGAAAACGTGAGAAGTGAAAGGTAGGCGGTACACCGGCAACATGGTTGGCCAGCATGTAAAAACTGTATATAACGCCATCACAAATTGAAAACCGTGTAATTTGGCTCCAGTAAAAATAGACATATCACTAAATTATCCGAGCATCAAGGAGAATGCTAAACGTGTAATTATCCGCCTCCGCGCGCACTCGCCTTCCCCGTATAAAAGATTCGAGTAAAAAAAATTAATAAGGCTTTTCCGAACACGCGTGCAAGGGCAAATTTGTTTTAGGCTTTTGCTTTAGAACAGGTATTACTACCATAGCTTCCTCTATACTGACAAAGAATGGCAGATCGCCACGAGAAGCGGCCGCCCAAGTTGAAAAGGTAGAGCAGCAGCCAACGCATGAGAGGAAAGAAATATGACGCGCGCCACACTACGGCGAGACACCAAAACACATATCTCCCGAGCAATGGGATCTCCGCTCGTGATCCTCGCGTTCCTCGAGCTACGATTTCGTTTTTCGTCGGGTTTGAAAACCATGTTGTGGGTCCTCGCCGCTGAAAAATTCGTGCGCTGACGTTCAGGTTCTTTGAGAAATGCTCTGTGGTACCAGATCCACGCTCTCCAAATGTGCGGCCGGGCACTCTATGGCACTGTCGTCGAACTGTCAGGTTTTTACGAGTGTACTGGAGGTTATGCTACTGCAGACGACAGCACGTGCTGCGCATGTATCCAGACTCGTAGCATGTACCTGGGTGCTTGAACATTTTAGCAATTGTATGTTGGAACGTTGTCTTCTCCTGCGTTCTATCAATAGAGCTATTGCTAAATTACCCAAGCATCAAGGAGAGTGCAGGCAATGGTGTTCCACACGCCCGCACGCGCGCGCCTTCCCCTTATAAATAACACGAAGTGAATAACCAAATAAAACGTTGACAAACGCGCCTTTAAAGATGCGATCTGTTTTAGGCTTTTGCCCTAGAGCAGTTACTGCTGCAGACGCCAGCACGTGCGGCGCGTGAGAAACCATTTCCTGCCTTCTCCTTGACGATTTGGTAATTTCGCAATAGGTCTATACCCGGCCGCTGGAGTCAAGGCAATCCATTAGAGTATTCCAAAGACGGTGCCGTGCCGACAATTACGGTGTTCATTTAGGCTTAGCAATAGTCGGAATAGAAAGACTATATAAAAGGTGCGGCGGGGTCATTGCTCAAGCTTTGCGATTTATGTGAGGTAAGGAAAAGCGAAAGCATCTTGCACCATTCATTGCTGACTAACGCGCCCGAATTTGCACCTATTACGTCATATTAGTTTCAGAGCGAGCGACGCTCGCTCACAGGGGCACCGCCATGTTTCCCCGCCGTTCTTACTCTGCCGCCCACGTGACCTAAAATTTCCTAAAATTTCCCCTCGTAGGGAAATACGGTTAACTTTATACCGCGATTCAGGTTAACCGAATTCGAGAAAACGAGCAAAGGATCTAATTCAATCACCTCGATTTTCCTGTAAGCGAAGAAGCCATATAGTCAGTTGCAACTCAGAAAGGTAGGGTGAGGGGAAGGAAGGCTGGGGCGCAGGAAGCAGACGGGACGCTGGAGTGGAGAGGGGAAAACCTCCTCTTGCCTTAAGCTTCCTCTTCCGGGCATCTCTTTCCCTCGCCCGACCTTCTTGAGTTGCAACGACTATAACAGGCTTCTACTTTCTCGTAACGTGTACGTTTTGATTTTTTTTAAAGAACGTTTTCGGTTCTGCCAAAAAAGAACAGGCTTACCGGGACAACTGATGGCCCTGCATTCTTTTCTTTTTCTGGGGATAACAATTTTGGCGACATAGAACGTTCTAAAACGAACCTGGGTGAGAATCAAACGTTTCTTGACGTAAAAAACAATTTTTTCCCCGACTGTCACCTTTTTGTCTGAGAGAGTATTTTGCTAAACATTTACCCGACGTTTCGGAACCAGTTCGGCCCCTTGTTCATGGGTGTGTGACGAAAAGAAAAGAACACGCGTCGCTTAAATGCACATACGGATGTAGGGAGCTTCGCTCACGTCACGCAATCCCGAGACGTAGCTGCTGGGCAGGGAGCCCAAAGAATGATTCCCGATCCCCTTTGTGTGGTGGATTAACCAAGACTAAACAATGCACCGTTTTCGCCAATTCCTCTCCAAGGCCAGCACGGTGCTTCCCTCGAAGTCGACTGTGTGGACGGCTGCTTCTGGGTGCTCTGTGAGGGCGCTTCCCCCCCCCCCCCCCCCCCCCAACCTTCTTCCGGACATTTTATCTGTGTCGCATATGCCTCTCTGCGAATTTCTTACTTTCTCCAATGTATGAGGCCGGACAATCTTTGCATGGTATGCGGTAGACCAAGCCTTGGGCCATCTCTTTGGGTGGCTGATCCTTCGGGAAGGGAAGGCGATGACCAATTGTCGACACAGGCTTATGAGTCACCGCAATCCCGCAGCGACCGAGGACGCAGGAAAGGGCCTCGCTGGTGCGGCTAATGTAGGGGACACAGACGCGATCGGAAGGGGGACTGCTGCGCCCTTCTGGGTGGATCCCTTGATTTCTCGAGTATTCAAAGAATAAACCGTCGAGGGTAGCCGTTTTTGCGGAGATCCCATGTTACGACCTTTATTTCCTCCTGCAGGCTCTTCTTTGTGAAGCAGGTAGCGAAGGCGCGCCTGAAGAGTGCAGAGGCCAGCGACGCTTTATGACATCGGGGGTGGTAGGAATCAAACCCTAACTATCTGCCAGTATGAGTCGGCTTCCTGTAAACACAGAAGCTTAGTCCATTGCCACTCCTGGTTACCAGTACATCAAGACAAGAAAGGGAACCTTGGTCTTCGTGTTCGACCGTGAATTGTAGTTAGTCATCCACCGAGTTCAGGTGCTTTAGAGGACGATCCACCTCGCCGGTTTTAACGACGCAGAAACAGTTGTTCACGTAACGCGGGAACGTTCTGGGTTTAGGCTCGAAAGTGTTGAGATACTTGCGTTCGATGGCTTTCATTGTGAGGTTTGCCATTGTCACAGATATGGTTGCCCCCATGGCTATGCCGCTGGTTTGCTTGTAGTACTTCCCGCTCAATTAGAAGTATGTGCTGTTCACGCAGAGCTCTAGTGGTCGGCACATCTTGTCAACTGCAGGCCCATACACACATTTGCGTTTGAGCGCGGTGCGTTCCGTTGCGGCAAGCGGACGCGTTGCGTTGCGAAGACCGGTTGCGCCAAACTTGTACGCACAGTTGTGTTGACACGCAATCAACCGCAGTCAAGAGCCAATAAGAACACGCTATCGTCGCTAGTGGCTCACCAATAGTAAGCGAAATCCAAGGCAACATGGCGGCGCAAAGCGACAGCGTCGAAGTATTCGATCTTGCGACAATCTCGCCGGCTTCCCCGATGTTTTGTCAACCTTGAACCATCGCAGCCTTGGAAAATACAGTCCCCACCTTTCCCCAAAACGAAAACGCAAGCACTGCGACTGACGAACCGGATACGTCTCGCCGAGTCGGCCGGGTGGGGCGAGCGAACACGTCGCCCCCTCTCCTCTTTCGGCTTCTGATTGGTCGAACGCACCAGAACGCACCGCAACGCTTCAGAAAGTCGAGCGAGTCTCTACTCGCTTGCGTCGCGCTACCGAGCGTTGCGGGAAGGCGCGCGACGCTCCGCAAGCTACCGCGCCTGGCCGCAGGGACTCCGCAACACACTCAAACGCGTTCAAACGCGAATGTGCGTGTTGCGTTTTTGAAGACCTTTATTCAACTGCCACCCTCCAGCACCGCTCGTGCCGAGTACAACTCTGAAGTCCCATACGCACCAGGTTTTCTTTTGCCCGGCTACCGCCCCCGCGCTCGTAGTGCCCTCTGGACACCACATCTTTCCCCTCCTTTTTAAACAAACATACCCAGCTGGTAACATCCGGCCATTAACAGTAAATAGTTTAAAAAAGTCCGTCGCTTTTTTTTTTTTTTTTTTCATTCTTCTATTAGCCTTCGAGGCTTGCGCCGATCTCGCACGGGATACCGTCGCTCTCCGTCACTATTATCTGCATCCATGAGCGTCTCAGCATCCTGGGTGTTACTTCTTGGCCTCGGGACTTCGGATGGTGCAGGCAAAGAGGCCTGTGGAAGGCACCTGTCGCCTGCGCTGACTTCCGGTGTGCTGTCTGTCCAAGCCGTGGCAGACACCCCTCCCGCTTCGTCTGGACGAGACTCTGAAGGTCCGGAGTCTTGCGACGGTGCTCGGAGCAACTGGTCCTGATGCCTTCGCCATACCCGTCCCGGGGAGACTTGCACTTGGAAAGACACTGGACCAGTTTGGGCAGCGACTGTTCCTGGCTGCCACTTGTGACCACTTCGATAATCTCTGGCATAGACTTGGTCTCCTGCAGTGAAAGCCCGCTCTTGTCCTGGGTGTTGCCGCTGTTGGCGGTAGTGTGCGCTGGCCACACAGTCTGCAACTGATGGTTTCAGGAGGTCCAGTCTGGTGCGAAGATGCCGCTGTAGCATCAACTGGGCCGGAGACTCTCTTGTTGTCGGGTGCCGGGTGTTCCTGTACGATAGAAGAAAACGTGACAACCTTGTACGGAGGGGATGGCTCGAAGTTGTTTTCCGCAGATAGTTTTTCATGGTCTGAATAAACCGCTCAGCTAGTCCATTCGTAGCGGGATGGTATGGTGCAGACGTGACCTGGGCGATACCATTGTTCCTTAAGAAAGTTTGAAATTCCTCCGACACAAACTGAGGCCCATTGTCAGAAACCATGGTTGTGGGCAGACCAAACCGTGCGAAGCAATCTTGTACACACTCGATTATGACCTTTGACGTCGTAGACTCCAAGACAAACACCTCTGGCCATTTGGAGTGAGCATCCACGAGCACGAGGAACATTTTACCCATGAAAGGTCCCGCCAGATCCACATGCAGTCTCTCCCATGGACGTGTCGGCCATGCCCAAGGGTGCAGGGGAGCAGCGGACGGATTGTTTCGGTGCAGCTGACACATGGTACACCCTCCAATTTCCCTCTCAATGTCTTTATCCAGGGATGCACACCAAACATAGCTCCTAGCCATTTCCTTAGTGCGCACGATGCCATAATGGTCCCCATGAAGTTCTTCTAGGACCCTTTTCTGCAGGGTCTTCGGAATCACCACTCGTAAACCCCACATGAGGCATCCTTGGTGGAGTGACAGCTCATTGCGGCGTACGTGGAAGGGTGCATACTCTGGATCGGTTGGCTTGCGTTCTGGGCCCCAACCATGCTTTACTCTTTCCACGATCTGACTTAGAAGGGGGTCTCTGGACGTCGCCCGTGCAATGTCTTTACATCTAAGAGGTACATTGTCAAAGTACTCACAGTAGAAGGCGAACGTTTCGTCGACGGCGTCTGTGTTGGGGTTGTCCGTTGCTTTTGGGAGTCTTGACAAGCAGTCTGCATTGGCATTTTCCTCGGAAGACCGGTGGACGATGGTGTAGCGGTGTGCGGCTAGCTGACAGGCCCACCTCTGGAGCCTCGCTGCTGTCATTGTAGGGATCCCGGTCGTTGGGCCTAGGATTTTCTGTAAGGGAGCGTGGTCAGTGATCAGTGTGAAGTGATAGCCATACAAATAGTAGTGGAATCTTCTTATTCCAAAGATGATAGCTAGGCCTTCTTTTTCTAACTGAGAATAATTCTTCTCGTGCTCAGTCAGGGTCCTAGAAGCAAAAGCAACTGGCCGCTCTGTTCCATCTTCAAACGCATGGGACAGGACTGCCCCTACTCCATACGCCGATGCATCGCATGCCAGTATAATGGGTCGACGCGGGTCAAAATATGTCAGGACAGGTGCCGACGTCACCAGCTTCTTAAGCGAATCAAAGGAGTCCTGACAGTCTGTGCTCCATTCCCATGCAGCCTTCTTCTGCAGTAGACAATTCAGAGGATACACGGTAGTTGCTAAGTTCGGTAGAAATTTGCCATAGTAGTTAGCAAGCCCAAGGAATGAACGCAACTCTGCCTTGTTCTTGGGAGTGGGTGCATCTCGAAGTGCTGCTGCTTTATCCTCCATGGTTCGTAGACCATCCCGACTAATCACATGACCGAGGTAGGCAACTTCCGTTTGGAAGAATTTGCACTTCTCTTTCTGAAGACGCATTCCCTTTTCTTGTAATCGTGTTAAGACTGCTTTCAAGTTTTCAAAATGCTCACCCTTCGTTCTGCCAGTCACCAGGATGTCGTCCAGGTAGCAGGTGGTCTGCGGCAGCCCTTGAAGCACTTGATCCATAGCTCTTTGAAAAATGGAGGGTGCAGATGCTATGCCGAAGGGAAGACGGTTCACTTGGAACAGCCCCAACTGGGTGTTGATGGTGAGGTACTTCCGCGCTGCAGGATGCATCTCCAGCTGTAGGTAGGCTTTTGACAGGTCCAGCTTTGAGAAAAACTTCCCTCCTGCCAGCGTTGCAAACATCTCTTCTATCCTGGGGAGCGGATAGTTGTCGACCTCCAAGCACGGGTTGATTGTTGACTTGTAGTCGCCGCAGATTCTTATGTCTCCATTCTTTTTGACGACCGGCACGATGGGCGATGCAAACTCGCTGCTGTCCACCGGGGTCAGGATCCCCGCCTCCTTCAGTGCCATCAGTTCTTTAGAGACAGCTTCCTTCAGGGCGTGGGGCACTGGTCTTGGCTTGAGGAACTTTGGAGTGTGCCCACTCTTCAGCTTGAGGTGAGCTTCAAACCCCTGAAGACGGCCCAGATCGTCTGAGAACACCTGGGCAAAGTCCTTCAAAAGCGTGTCGACTTGTTCCTTGCTCCCCTTCTCCAAGCACTGGACAGCCTTGATGCTTGTCCAGTCGAGCCTCAGCACCTCCAGCCAGTCACGTCCCAAAAGCGGGGGACCCTTGAAGTCCACAATCTGCAGCGGTAACTTGTGAACCTGGTCTTGGTACTCCACTTCAACCTGTGCCTCTCCTACCGGCTTCACCTTTTTACCGGTAAATGCTCGAAGGACGACTCCACTTCTTCCCTTCACTAGATTGGGAAACCTTGTCTTGTACAGGTCTAACGGGAGTACCGACACCGCCGCCCCGGTGTCTACTTCCATCGTCAGCGGAATCGTGTTCACCTTCACTGTTACTTGCAGAGGCCGCGGACGTGTCCCCCGAAGCTCGAACATCTCGACCTCGTCTTCCGTGTCGACGTTCAGCGTCTTGACTTTTTCCCCTTGATTCCTCCGGCCTCGTGTCGGTGCTCCGCGATGCTGAGAAGCTGCTGGCCCGGACTGCTGGCTCCTGCACACTCGTTCAAAGTGTCCGCGTCTTCCGCACCTACGACAGTCTAAGCCTTTCCACCTGCAGTTAATTGCTGTGTGATTCGTAAGTCCGCAGTGCTTGCATTCGGACTTGTCCTGGTCCACCTTAAGCACCTCGGCGTCCGCGCTCCGGCAATGTAAAACTTGTGCGTTCGCGGAGGCGGCTTCCATCGCCACTGCGATTTCTAGCGCCTTCTTAAACGTCAGGCCAGCTTCCGACAACAGTCGCTTTTGAATGGAGTCGCTGATAATGCCGCATACCATGCGGTCACGTAAGGCTTCGTTCAAAGTGCCGCCGAATTCACATGTCTGCGCCAACTTTTTCAGCTCGGCTACGAACTCGAGGATACTTTCATTCTCGTTTTGGTTTCTTTTGTGAAAACGGAAGCGTTCCGCGATGACAAGAGGCTTCGGCGACAGGTGCTCTCGCAATATGGCTACCAGCTCGATGTACGACTTGCTAGCCGGGATGTCCGGCGCCACCAAACTCTTTAGCAGAGCGTACGTCTTCGCGCCAATGAGGCTTAGGAACGCTGCCACTTGCCTTTCTGGTTTGACGTCGTTTGCGACGAAAAACTGGTCGAGTCGCTCGATGTAGGTTGGCCAGTCCGTGCCCGCTTCGTCGAACGGTTCATTTCGACCGAGGGTCGCCATGGCGTCGCGGCGTCACCGGGGAGTAGTGCGGCGGGCGACTCTTCGACGGGGCTCGCGTGGCTGGACGCTCGTCGCCAGTTGTTGCGTTTTTGAAGACCTTTATTCAACTGCCACCCTCCAGCACCGCTCGTGCCGAGTACAACTCTGAAGTCCCATACGCACCAGGTTTTCTTTTGCCCGGCTACCGCCCCCGCGCTCGTAGTGCCCTCTGGACACCACAGTGCGTATGGACCTTGATAGGCACGTTCTCTCCGGGAGTTTTTCGTCGGCCCATAGAGCACTTCTTGCAACAGATACTGCCAATGGCACTGGGATGCTGGCGAACAAAGACAGTACGTCAAAAGAGACGAGGCTCACGTCGTCACGTACCTCTAAATCGGAAACAAGCTCTACAAAGTGACGAGAGTTCTGCACGTACGTTGGAGTCTTTCCGGTGAGGGGTGAGAGGAGCCCGTGGAGATAGTTGGAGACGGCGCGCAAAGGTGACGTTGTGAAATCCACAACAGGTCAAAGTGGTACACCGGCCTTTTGTATCTTGGGGAGACGGTACAACGCTGGGATGGATCCGTTCCTGCAGATGAGCCTCATGTAAAGGCTGCGAAAGTCAAGGTATTTCTGGAAGATGATTGCCAGTGTTTTGTTGAGCGTTTCTGGCACTTTTGTTGTGGGATATCTTATCAAGGAAGTGTAGGTATTGCTGCCAAAAAGCTCAAGCAGCTTTTGGTCGTACTTCTCCCTGTCGATGACGACGGTGGCATTTCCCTTGGCTGCCCGCAACACTACAATGCTTTTGCAATTTTTGAGGCGACGCAAGGCCTGGATTTCCTCTGCCGAAATGTTGAGAGGTTTCCGCTGAACTGCCTGAGATATGACGCCGATTACTTTCAACCGAGCCTCCTCGCGAGTAGCCGGGTCCAACCCATTAAGACCATCTACGATGGATACAACCATCGCGGGGAGCTTGCGAGTGGTTAAGTAAAAACTTCGGCCTCTTGCCGGTACCGATTTCTCTGAACGGCAGTGCTCCCTCGATGAAAGATTGCTCGCAAATCTTGCGTAGACTCCGCGGAGGCTGGAAGCTGAGTTGTCCGGCTGACGTGCAGCCGGACAACTGGCAAGAGTCCGGGGAGGGGGAGCTTAACCACTCGCAAGTTCCCCCTCCCCGCTATGGCTGCGTCCATCGAAGACGGTCTTCGTGAGTTGGACCCGTCTACTAGCGAGGAGGATCGGTTGAAAGATTCGGCGTCATATCTCAGGCAGTTCAGCGGAAAGCTCGCAACATTTCAGCAGAGGAAAACCTGGCCTTGCGTCGCCTCAAGGATGGCAAAAACATTGTAGTGTTGCGGGTAAACAAAGGAAGCGCCACCGTCGCCATGGACAGGAATAAGTACGACCAAAAGCTGCTTGTGCTCCTTGGCAGAAATGCCTACCCTTCCATGCCAAGAGATCCTACAAGAAAAGTGTAAGAAACGCTCAACAAAACACTGGCAATCATCTTCCGGAAATTCCCTGACTTCCGCAGCCTTTACATGAGGCTCATCTGCAGGAACGCATCCATGCCAGCGTTGTACGGTCTCTCCAAGATACAAAAGGCCGGTGTACCACTTAGACCTGTTGTGAACTTCACAACGTCACCATGCGCCCCGTCTCCAACTACCTCCACAGGCTACTCTCACCCCTCACCGGAAAGACTCCAACGTACGTGCAGAACTCTAGTCACTTCATAGAGCTTGTGTCCGATTTAGAGCTACGTGACGCCGAGAGCCTTGTCTCTTTTGACGTGGTGTCTTTGTTCGCCAGCATCCCAGTGCCATTGGCAGTATCTGTTGCAAGAAGTGCTCTATGGGCCGACGAAAAACTCCCGGAGAGAACGTGCCTATCAGTTGACGAGATCTGCCGACTACTTGAGCTCTGCCTTAACAGCACATACTTCTCATTTAGCGGGAAGTACTACAAGCAAACCACTGGCACAGCCATGGGGGCAGCCATATCTGTGACAATGGCAAAGCTCACAATGAAGGCCATGGAACACAAGGCTGTCGACAATTTCCAGCCTAAATCCAGAACGTTTCTGCGTTACGTGGGCGACTGTTTCTGCGTCGTTAAAACCAGTGAGGTGAATCGTCTCCTAAAACAACTGAACTCGGTGGATGAGTCGCCACAAACGCGAAGACAAAGGTTCCCTTTCCTTTTTGGATGTACTGGTGACCAGGAGTGGCAATGGACTAAGCTTTTGTGATTACAGGAAGCCAACCCATGCTGGCAGATACTTGGGGTTTGATTCCCGCCACCCCCCATGTCATAAAGCGTCGGTGGCCTCTGCACTCTTCAGGCGCGCCATCGCCACCTGCTCCACAAAGAAGAACCTCTAGGAGGAAATCAAGGTCGTAACATCGGATCTCCGCAAGAACGGCTACCCTCGACGGTTTATTCTTCGCATACTCGAGAAATCAAGGTATCCACCCCTAGGGCGCAGCAGCCCCCTTCTAATCGCGTCTGTGTCCCCTACATTAGCCGCACTAGCGAGGCCCTTTCCCGCGTCCTCGGTCGCTACGGGATTGCGCTGACTCATAAGCCCGTGTCGACAATCGGTCATTGCCTCCCCCTCCCGAAGGATCGGCCCCCTGAAGATAGGGTAGAAGGCTTGGTCTACCGCATACCATGCAAAGATTGCCCGGTCTCATACGTTGGCGAAAGTAAGAACTTCGCAGTGTGTGCATTTAAGCGCCGCATTTTATTCTCTTTTTGTCACTCACCCGTGAACAAGGGACCGAACTTGTCCTGAAACGTCGGGTAAACTTTTATGAACTTTTTCTTGAGTCCCTATTTTTCGCTTCATGTCCATCCCTAACCAGGCAGAGTGCTGCCGAACGTTTACCTTCAAGGGTAGTTTGCTCCCGCAATACATTCGATGTTGGACTTCGTAGTATAACTCAATTATTCAATCTTTACTATGCTGTCGCACACGTTCATGGGCCGCCTCGGCAAAAATGTGGATCCGGAACCTCGGATATTCGCATGCGATCCGCAATCCGCCAAATCTGGTTAAATTTTATCCGCATCCGCCAGTTTACTTCGGATATCCGGGGGTATACGCAGGACTCCAGGTGGGATTTTTATTGATGGACCGGTTTCTCGGGTGGTAATTACTGTCTTGCAGCATTTAGATAAGCCGCAAGCCTTCTAATAATTTTTTTTTTAATTCATGATTAGTTTTTCTTTGCTACCGCGCTCCCTAACGGCTCAGCGCGAGATTTCTACCACTGAAGCTGGCGTTTCCTCGCGCTAACGAGCTTCGTTTTTTTACAACCGAC